AGGATGAGGTCAGCTTCCAGACCGTGTACCACTACTACAGCCGCATGGCCAACTATCGCAACACGAGCGAGATCCCCATGGTCCTGGTGGGGACACAGGGTAAGGGCAGCCTGCATTCCCAGGGCTGCTTTTCTGACCACAGAGGCTCCTTTTTGGCAGGGCCGGGGCATCGTGAGAGGGCTGGTTTGAAGTGGGAGACAAATGTCCCGGCTGCACTCTGGGAGACGAGGTGTGGGGCTTCAGCAGGGATGAGAGAGGGGGGGGATTTAGGTCAGATATTGGAAGGAATTCTTCCCTGGGAGGGTGGGGAGGCCCTGGCACAGGTTGCCCAGAGAAGCTGTGGCTGCCCCTGGATCCCTGGAAGTGTCCAAGGCCAGGTTGGAGCACCCTGGGCTGGTGGAAGGTGTCCCTGCCTGTAGCAGGGGGTGGGACGGGATGAGATTTAAGGTCCCTTCCAACCCAAGCTGTTCCACGATGTTATGACTTACAAGGAGATTTTAAATAGTATTTTCAGTGCTTGCTGGTGACAGTGGTTTTCACGCTCAGCAGGGAGATGCTCGTGTTGAATTTGGACAGGTGCATCAGTTGTGTAACGAAGGTCTGAAGTCCATTTTCCCTGTGCTTGGCAGTCTAGAAGTGTTCAGCACCTTGGCGTTGCTAAGAGGCAAACGGGCCAGGGGTGGAAAACCTCCATCAGCACGTTGGGAAGCAGAACTGAACCGTGTCCCCATGCAGTGCCTCCAGGAGGCCTCTGCGTATCAAACACAAATGCAGCTTTTTTTGCCACCTGAGACACGCCCTCCCCCAGTATTTTCCTAAATTTCTTCTGGAGCAGCAGCAGCTGCTAACCACAGCTGTCCTACAGGGAAATGTGGTGTGGGAGTGGTACTTAACAATCTTTCAATATCTTTGGCATTTGAGTTGTCTCTGCCTTGCTTTGCCAGCGCATCCCTTGCTATGTCACCAGTTTCCCGCGCTGTGGTTGGCTTGCTGCGTGGAGTAGACACTCAGGAGTTGATCACAGAATCATGGAATTCCTAGGGTTGGAAAAGCCCACTAAGATCATTGAGTCCAACCCTTAACCCAGCACTGCCAAGGCCACCGCTAACCTGTGTCCCCAAGTTTGTTGATCACCTCCAGGGACGGAGCTTGTGCCAGAGATCAACAACCCTTTTGGTGAAATAATCCCCCTAATATCCAACCTGAACCTCCCCTGGCACAGCCTGAGGCAGATTCCTCTCATCCTGTTCCTTGGGAGCAGAGCCTGACCCCCACCTGTCTCCACCCAGCTCCTCGCTCCCGCTGGAAGATCTTTCCCAGTGTGTCATCGAGTTGCTGTGCTGTGTTAGAGGGAGAACAACACAAGTGCCAGGAGTTGTTCTGGTGTGCTCAGCTTTGGCCAGCTTCCTCTCTGCTCTGTGCCAGTTGGGTTTGGCGGTGGGGAAGCCTTTTTGCTGCTTTCTCAGCTCATTTTCAGCCAGCTCTGTGGTCGGGGAGCGGTTTGCCTTGCCCTGCCTCCCGCGGAGCGGGACGGCCTGGAGGGAGCAATCCCAACCCGGCTGTAGGGTGGAAACAGATGATGGGAAGTGAAAGGGGAAGCGGGGACACAAAAAGCAGCCTCAGGACGGCAGAACCCACGGCAAAAAGCAGAAAGGAGCTGCTTTGAAGGGCCGCGCTGTCGGCTTGGAACTGGAGCTGAAAAGGCGAGGGGGAAACGTTTCTCTTGAGCTGTTTTGTTTTGTGCCCTGCTGGCACCTTGGGGGATGGTTTCCCATCTCCTTCCCGTTATTACCAGAAAGGAATTTGTGGTTTGTTTTTTTTTTTTTTTAAAAAGTCACTTTCTGTTGCAGCACTGATGCAAAGGGCGTTTTTCAAAATGGGGCTAATTCTGGGAGCAAGAAGCATCAGGACAAAATACAGCTTTTTGGCTGTCTTTGGCAGTCAAACGGTGCAGTGCAACATATGAAATATATTTGAAATACACCTATTTGGTATCATGGAGTTACAGAATGGTTTGGGTGGGAGGGGATCTTAAAGATAATCTCATTCCAACCCCCTGCCACGGGCAGGGACACACCTTCCACTATCCCAGGTTGCTCCAAGCCTGGACTTCTTGGGTTTGACTGGTATTGTTGAAATGTGACGTGAGATGAAATCTCTCCCAAATGCTGGCATTTGCCTGATGATTGCAGATGTTTTTCCCTGACTTCTGAGGCCAGTTCAGTGCCGCAGCCTGACCAGAACAGCAAGGCAAACTTTTCCAAGCCCTGAGTGTTCCTTATCAGTTCCTTTCTGGTCAAATGTTGTCAGCGCCCTCTGCTGAAAAAAAAAAAGAGAGAGTGTTACTTTTCCAAATATCTGCCTTATTTGTGGGAGTTGGATCTGACGAGAAGGCAGTGATGACACCACCTGAGGTACGGTCCTGCCATGCCCAGGGCCAAGCCCCAAACACAGCGTTGCAACAGGCACTGAATTCCTGCTTGGGCACCTTCCACCAGCCCAGGTTGTTCCAAGCCCTGTCCAGTCTGGCCTTGGACACTTCCAGGGAAGGGGCAACTTCAGTAGATATGTCTATTTTTACTTCAATTGTAATACAACAGCACTTTTTTAATTGCCTCTCCCGAAAATGTTCTGTTTCTTAAAAGCACATCGTGTTTTGTGCTTCACGTTCCAGTTACTTGTCAGGGACTGATATTTACAGGAGGCCTGACAATCATTTGACATGTTTGCAGTAATCACCCACTTGTTTTGCTAAGTATGTTTTTACATCAGATCTCAAGCTATTTCCCTTGACTGTGTATTTTTTTGCAGCTGCCGACCTAAATATATATATTCAAGGTAAACAAGAAAAGCACTGGACGTTTTTCCCCTGGTTGTTAGAATCAGCATGCTGGTGATTTTAGTAAGGAGGTGTAAAATAAGTGATGTTCACACCTGTTGTCTCTAAAAATCATGAAATTCTCACGCTTTGTACTTTGAATTCGTTGTTTGGGGTGCTGGTCGTTACAAGAGGAAACAGCCTCCAGCTGTGCCAGGGGAGGTTCAGATTGGACATCAGGGGAAATTTCTTCGTGGAGAGGGTTGCAAAGCATTGGAAGGGGCTGCCCAGAGCTGTAGTGCAGTCACTCTCCCTGAAAGGCTTCCAAAAAACGTGTGGATGTGGCACTTAGGGATATGGTTCAGTGGTGACCGTGGTGGTGGTGCTGTGCTGATGGTTGGACCCGATGAACTTTAAAGGTCTTTTCCCACCTTAAGGATTCTGTTTTGAGGTGATATTTAATCCACATCTTTCCCTGCCGTTGCTGCAGATGCCATAAGCTCCACCAACCCCCGGGTCATCGACGATGCCAGGGCGAGGAAGCTGTCGAACGACCTCAAGAGATGCACCTACTACGAGACCTGTGCCACGTACGGGCTCAACGTGGAGAGAGTCTTCCATGACGGTACACGAGGCCTTTTTCACCCACTATAGCACTCAGTTCTTAAATAACCCCCTGTGTCTGATGGCTCAGGAACTGCCCTGTTTGCCAAGCATTCATTCATATTTAAGTGCTTGCTTCTCCACGAGCGCTAAATCAAACCAAAGAAAACTTCGTTTTCTTTGGTTTGATTTAGCGCTCGTGGAGAAGCTCTTTGTGCAGAGTAGTTGAAAATTAAATTGCATGTTTGAGTACCGTGGTATTCGTGGGGTGATAGAAGTTGGGAGGTAGATATTTGGCTTTGAACTGTCAAGAAGTTGGACTGGAAATTGGGAAGAAGATCCTCAAGTTGGAGCTCTGTGCCTGAGATGGGCTCTGTGCCCCCTCTAGTGGAATTTCCACCAGGAGGCTTTGCTGGCTCTTCCTCTCGCTGTGCTTGTCTGTGTCAGCCCCTCATCACAGCGGCTTGTCTGCACCTAAAAACCTTCCTAATTAAGTGTAAATGTCTCTCGGAGCTCCTTAGTTCCGTGGGTTGGTTCCTCGTGGGTTTGTGATTGCAGATTCCTGCTCTGTCTGTGGTTGTGTGGGGCAGTTTCTCACCTCAGCATCTATCAGAGATGGGTACGAAGGCCTCTCAAATAAAAAGGCAACAATTTCATGTTTTTACATGGAATAAAAAAGCAAAACATTCCAATGTTTGCATGGGGGGAAATAGCAAATCAGTGTAATTTTTGCATGGGGAAAAAAAAAAAAGGCAAAACATCCTGACTTCACAGCGAAAATTCTGATGTGCACTGCAGTAGTTTGGTTCCAAATAAGATGTTTTTACTTGTCATTTTGACCAGATTTCAAGCCGATTTGAAGCTGCATCTTTGTGCTTGGCTCCCTGTTTTCTCTTGAACTCGTTGCAAAAATTACTGTTTTCACTGCCTGGATTTTTCCGTATTGATTAGGAGTTTCCAAGAGCCCATTAGGGGTTTTTTGTTGTTAGCACATTTATTTTGGAGTGCTAGCTATAGTTAGATTTTTAATTACATATTCCAAGTCGTGGTGTGTTTGTGGCTCTTTCTGCAGTCTGCTCCTCTTCTTTTTTTTTTTTCTTTTTTTTTCT